TGCAAACAATCTTTTGTCCTTTGAAAGCACAGATAAAACAGGTACACTGCATGTGCAAGAACTATCTACAAGGTATGAAAGTCTATATTACACCCATCAGAGCAAATAAAGATTGGGAAAATACAGAGACACCTCATTTGAGTTTATTATGTACCGTAGTTAATTTATCTCACCTAGAGAGAGGAACAGCTCCTATGATAGGGAAAAACTGTTATTTCTGGGCATGGATTGTACCACTTGAAAGACCTACGAAAAAGCATTCACATTCATAACATTTCAAGTCCAACTCTTATATAAGACCGTCTTTATGAGACATCAATCACAAGATGAGAGAAACTGTAAAGCTATTTTCTAGTAACACACTGCCAATCGCAAGACAAATGCCAGATGCCACAAAATGAGAAGTAACCATTTTTCAACTTGTGAACGTCTTCAAATATATTACAATGAAAGTAGGAAAAAACGATGCTTTCAGCTTCATCTGTTTTGACAGATGCCAAAACTTGGAGCTTGGCATTTTATCTTCATGCAGCAATAATCTTTATGAAACTTAAACAAGGCTGAGGGTGGTGGTATCAGCCTAAAACTATTCTCTTACATGCACAAGACACAAAATATTTCCAGCTGCCTGGCTGTCGTGGAGAAAAAGATTGTCCCAAAAAGAGACAGGCAGGCAAGAAGATGAAAGTGCTGCTACACAGTTTGGTTCTTACTGTTTCTAACTGGCTCCATTTGTCTTCTCTCTGCCCTGTATATGCCCCACCACCGATTGCCATATGTAGGTAGTTACAAGCTGCAAACAGCTCTCTCTCCAATCAAGACCATCAACTCTAAATTTTGCTTGGCTGGGGAGATGGGCAGCAGTGTGTGTGGACTTAATGTATCACATTAAATGAGTGTCAAGCTGCTACATCCTTCACTGCACTGGAAATGTTCCTCCCTAAAGGTCATGTTCGGAGGAGATATGACATATGAGATCGCAGTGGGGGTACAGGTCCTCTTACTCCACATCTACTGCGTTACCTACTACGGGTAAAGTGAAGATGACCTCTCATTGTGTGGGCGCTGCTCTACAATAAGTCCCTCTGGGTTTAGGAGCATAGACAGAGCATGCAGGATCCCAGGCCACACACAAGTTATTCCATTTGTTAACGTGTGGCTGGAGACCCCAGCACAAATCTCAGCAGTGCCATAGGAGGACTGACGTGATTAAGCACAGTGACAGGCCAAATCAGCAGAAGGCCAAAGCTATGCTCACAATCAAGCCACAGGTGTTTGGCTGTGACCGTCTATATGCCTACGAGGAGACAAGACAGTCACCGACAGGGTCGAAACAGACTGACCAGCTTCTGCTGTTTTGCAGCACTGAAAGGTGAAGAGCAGCCTCAGCAGTAAGGTTCAGCAGGGGCAGGTAACGTGGACTATGAAAACTATTGAACTATTTCACCACAAGATAAAAAGAGGGAAAAGCAGAACACAGAAATAGTATGACAACGAATTTGCAGATTGAGTGTTGGGATAAGCTCACCTTGGATAACAGTCACGGATTCAAATTTGTAACAGGAGTAGGAGAGATCTGTAAAAAGGTAATGCTGCTGATTAGAAGGGCCAGGTAGATGGGTTTCCTTGAAAGGAGACCCAAAAAAATGGGACTAATTTAAACCTGAAAAAAAAGAAGTGTGAGACAATATACACTAGCAAAATTAACAATAATCAATGGCATAGAGAAGGTCCTGCTTAGCCTACTAGTGACAGGGCTTGATGCCGATTATTTTTCCCCACAGCCCAAGGACAAAAGGATGTATTCTGAAAAGAAAAGGCAACAAAACGACAATGAGTAAAAGGAATTTTTATGCAACATTTCATTTGTGAAACTCACTGCAGTAAGCAACCAGCATAATAATAACAGTAGCATAACAACAGCAACACCACCACAACAAGGTTAGCTAGCTCTCCATATGGCATGGAAATCATCTGCCGTTACATTATCCAGAATGAAAATATCAAGCACCAGTCCACAAAGCATGGAAATCAATAAAAAAAGATCACTCCCCTGGGGGGTCAGGAATACATCTTCTTTCATCATGTGCAACTTGTCTGGACTCATTCAGCTTTGACTGCAATCAGAGTATATGCTGGACGAGATGGACCTGTTCAGGTATTTTAGTTCCTATATGAATTAGGAGCCCAAATATTAGTTAGTTCTGGTTATGGAGTGCATCACAAAAGAGAACCGTGTGTGTGTGTGCGTGCGTGTGTGTGTACACACACACACACAGCATTCGGAGAAGAAAAAACATTAGATTTTCTTATTTTGCAAATAGCAACAATTTGGTCAATGAAATCCAGAAGATAATTGCTACTATTCTGGTAAACTTGCATGAAATATGCATGAAGCTGGTTGCAGAAGTGTAATTTCAGACAGAATATGGCCCACCACATCCTCTCTCAGGTGCTCCTTCCTCCCCTCCAGCCCCCTCATCATCATAGTATATGAATGCAAAGCAAGCTTTGCTTTATCTTCAAAACACCCCTCAAAAGTGGGACAGTGCTGCTATTTCCATGAGATAAGGAGAGACTTAACTAACCTTCCCCCACTCTCTCCAAGACCAGGACAAAGCAGGGAATTGAACCCAAGTTTTCCAAGGGTAAGGCTGATCCCTAACTACTGGGCAGCCTTCACACATCCTGGAGCCATCCTACTTTGTTTACAGCATGGTGAATTTTAGATTTAGCACTCATCCTTGCATTCGAAAGAATAAAATAAAGAAACATTTTTTTGCAGTAAGATGATGAAGTGCATTCCTACAATAGCAATGATACCATGAAGTTCCTTGATCAACAGTACTGAAGTTTTAAAAGGTACTCGAATGGATGCTTGGTTGCTCTCCCAACAATGGGACCACAGGCTAGAAAGACTCATGGTGCCTTATTGTAAGAATAGAAGTGATCTGCATAACTGTGCTTAGCAAGAAGCTCAAGGATAGGCTGCAAACCCAGGGACTGAATACGGTGGGCTGGGATGCCCCTTCTAGTCCTATGTGCAATTATATTGTCCAGCATTCATGCATTATAGCTATGCTTTAAAAAAATGCCAATTATTCTACTGCACGCTGTTGTGCTAATATTCAGATTTTTTTTAAACAAATTTAAGGGCATTAAGAGGAAGAGCAGAAGCAGGGAATTTATCCTGCTAGCTTTTGCAGGAGAATTTGCTCCCTTATGAGCTCCTCAGCGAGTTCTCCAAAGCAAATTCAGCAAGCTAATAACAAAACCAAATCCTCTGTCCTCTCCTGGACACAAGGAGAAGAGCCCTTTTTTGCTCTAGCCCCACCACAGCAGCCTGGCTTGTCCTTGCACAAGCTCTTCCCTTCAGAGCCTGCTTCTTTCACTTGCTTTCTCTTTTCTAACTCCCCTCTTAGCCAAGGACGGGCTGTTCCCCCTTAAAGGGACAGCCCGCACTGTTACACAGAGATGCGGATTCAGCTCTAAGTTCTCCTCGTTCAAATGTGATAGCAAAACCCCCCAAAAAAGCAATTAGTTTAGCCTCTCACCGTTAAATCCATTAGTTACAGAACCTGACACTTGAAAAAGTAACCCTGCACTGTTCAGTGCAGTGCTGGGAAAGAATATTAATTATATTGCTGAATGCTGGCCAAAACACGCTCTGAAGGAAGAGCCATATAGCGGCCATTAAATATTTATTAATATAAAGAATTAAAAGTGATACTGTCCTTATCTGCAGTTCCCAGCTATGAGGTAACAGGAGGGGAAGTGGAGAACCAGTGCATATGCAATGAATAAAGTACTACGCTGCAAGGAAGAACTGCATTAGTTTCTCTTGCCCCAAGGAGCCAAGTGGGGGATCGTCTTTTCCTCCTTACTCCTGGAAAGCTCCCAGTTGGAGCTGGATCACCTGACACCAGTTGGGGACCTGCTCTAGAGCAGCGGTTCTCAACCTTTTTTTGTTCTAGAACCTATTTATAAACATCAGTGGCCAGTCCCGACCCCGTGCCCCTCACTCCAGACCTGTTGCCCCATGCCGCCATGCTCCAGCCCCACCATGTGTGGGGCATGGGAGGGCCCCAAGCAGCCCCTCACAGGCTGAAACTCTGCCTGCCTGCAAGGGAAAAGCCATAGTTTCCCACATTTTCCTCCTTTAAAGGAGAATCCATTTTTAAAGTTTGTTCATGACCCTTTCATATATTCTTGCAACCCACTTTTGGGTCATGACCCACAGGTTGAGAGATGCTGCTCTAGAGGTCTTCAGCCAATTTAATTAAGTAAAGGTCTGCCATAATATTGAGAAAAAGGCCTCAGAAAGGACATGATCTAAAGCCCTCTGAAATGAATGGAAATTTTCTACTGACTTCACTTGTCTCTGCATCAGGAGCTCTGGACTTAACCCCACAAGATACTTGGTGCCTGGCTTTCCCACCAAGTGCCAGGGGATCTACTGGTGCTGTGTTTCTCAGGACTGAGACCTCCTTGCCTGTGACCATTGAGGCTTTCTGCAGAGTGCCCCAAGAGGCTTTCTGCAGAGTGCCCCAATGTTCATGCCAGGGGATAAGACCCCAGAAATTAGAGAGCAAGTTACACTCTCTCCACACATGAGTGGGGCCTGTGCAAATGGGAAATGTTAGTGGAAAGGTCCTAAACCACTGCCCGCTGCAAAGACCAAACCCAGCAGCTCGGAGTCTGATCCAGCCCATCTTTACTCACCAGTGGCCTGATGCAGACACCCCTCGACTCGAGGAAAGGGAAGGTGTGCACCTGCACTGCTCTCTCTCTGCAAGATGTGCGCTCAGCACTGCTGATGTCAGCACATTCAAATCAAGACAGGGCTGTTTCCACATAAGGGTGAGCAACATCGGGTCCCTTGAACCACTTGCCTTCAAGTAAAACAGCAGTTTGGGGGGGGGGGGGGGGGG